GAGGGTGCTTTCTTCTCTCTCTCATGTGCACACACGTGCTTTCTATCATTAAAAATAAAAAATGTAAAAAATCGGGTTGGAAAAGTCATGACAATTTTTCTATGCAAAAGTGCATCAAGACTTTTCCAACAACTCAATAAAATACAGTGTTCAGTAATCTTTTTATCATAACAAGCTTTGAGGCCAGCATGTGGCATGGTGACTAAAGTGGCTGGATTCCACATGGCCTATTTTCAGTTAAGAGTCCGGATTTGGCAGCTTAAAAAACATGCCACGTGTGTGTGCCCCAAATCCCAAGATGGAAATGGAGAAGAAGGGATTGTGATGTGACTATCTCCCCTCAGTGGGTGACTTCTCATCCCTAACCCCCCACTTCTCTGGGGAACACACATGCCCTACAGCAAAACATAAAAAGAAACAAACAAAAAATCACATTACTTTATAGCTAGAGTAACAAAGCCTGCTGTTGTGTGTTGTTGTCTAACAGCTGATATAGGTGTTCTGGTGATGATATTGTGCTGCTTAGTTACCCTATGTATATTACTTACTAACTATATTCATGGTATGTCATGTTTTTTTACTACTAAAGGCTTACATGTGAATAAGTGTGAAAAAACTATTGCTGACTGGTAGTATATCAATTCAGTCAGGGGTCTGGACGGTGGCACAGTGCAAAATTCAGCACTCTGTAAGGGAAGATTTCAAGTCCAGAGACTCCCTGATCATGTATGCCCATGATCCAGGGCTGGCTAAAGCTAGGAGTTGTATATTGAAGTCAAGACCCTGTCAATGACAAACTATCTCTGCCTCTCTCACTCATGGTATAAATAAATTCACTTAAAAAGGGTGGCGGTGGGGGAGGGAGCAGCACCCACTGGTGAATCTAGTTGCCTATCTCAAAAAAAAAAAAAAAAATATTAGCCAGAAATGATGGTGATGCCAAACCACCACAAATTGTCCACAAGGGCCCCTAAGATGGTAATACTTTTGCTTTCTGGTGGTTCAATGAACACAAATTCTGTTTCATACACAAAATTATTGAACATATTGAATAAAAATACCTTCAGAATATTTGTATAAGGTATCTATGAAACATAAATAGTTTAGACTTAGATCCCCTTCCCAAGACATTTCATTCTCTATATGCAAATACTTAAAAAATAAATAAATAAAAAAATAAAACACACAAAATCTGAACCACTTCAGGTCCCAAGCATTTTTTTTTTTAAGAGAGAGATTTTTGCTATAGCATACATGTGTTTGCTGGAGACGGTGAGACAGAAAGTAAAAAATTACCCCCTAGGGAGTATGACTAATGCCACAATCCCTCCTCCTCCTCCGGTCTTCTCTCAGGATTTTGGGCACACGCTAACACACGCATGGCATCAGTTTCAAACTGCTGGGTGTAAGACTTGAACCATGGTCGACCTCATGGGAGTCCAGTGACTTAAACATTACGCCATCTGCTGGCCCCAGGTCCCAAGCATTTCTGACAAGGGATACTCAACCTATAAGTAAATGCTTCTCTAACATGCTTATTTTTTCCTAAATTGAAAATTATCTCAAAAATTAGAAAATTACTGAGCTTCTTATTTAGTAGGCATATTAGAAACACAATATATGAGATTCATATATGTTAATCATAAGTTAAAGTCATACTCTGAATTCTATATGTGATTTTACTCACCTGGATAACTCTTCCCCTAAATTCTGCAAACTCCATTCTGTTATCTTCAGTTCATGTCTTAAGGAAGCAACATTTGCAAGCAAACTTTCTTCTTCATTGTCTTTATTATAGTAGTCTGATGAACTAGATTCCATTTCTTAAAAAAAATAAATGAATTCTTTGTACCGTGTCTGAAAGATTCTATGGTATCAGCCAAAATACTCTTGAACTAATAGGATTTTACTCCTTGTTTTTCTAGGCAAAATGTTTTGAAATCTTTCATGGTGGTTTAAAATGAAAATGTAACAAAACAAAACAAAAGTAACAATGAATTTCTCTGCCATATAAAATTATAATGTTGAGTTCAATTCAATTTCAATAGTTCAATTTTTCATATTCACCATGGTCTAGTTATTATGGTTTGCCTTTTCTTTCTTTCTTTTTTTTTTTTTTTAAGAGAGGTTTTTTGCTAAGGAGCACATGTGCTCAAAGGCACACATGCATGCACACTCACACAACGTGAGTTTTAAGCCACCAGGTCCAGGACTTGAAACGCAGTCAACTACGTGGGAGTCGAGCAACATAACCATCATGCCATCTGCTGGTCCCATGGTTTACCTTTTCTAAGCTCATTTCACCTTCCTAACAATTGTCTAAACTGAATTTTTTTATTCCCTGTTAAAGATGAAAAAAACTAAGAATCCGACAAACTAATCAACTCAATGTCATACAAACTGTAAATAGTGAAACCAAGATTTGAATATAGATCTGATGCCTTTTAATCATATCACACTGTATTTCTCAAATTTATGTATTATATAAACTTCAAAACAAGACCTTTAAACTTTCATACTTACATTAAAGCTCTAGACATCCAATAAAATGTTGCCATTACTGTTATTCATGTTTTATGAAGAAGACTATTTTTTAAAGATTTTATTTCACTTTATTTATTTATTTATTTATTTATTTTAATTTGACCAGAGAGGGACAGCGTGAGAGAGAGAGAGAGGGAAAGTGAGAAAGCAAGCTGCCAAGTCCAGGACCTGAAACAGAGTCAGCTTGCTGGCCCTATAAAAGACAATTTATTACCAAATATAAGTTATCTCCTCTCTCAATTTATTACCAAATATAAGTTATCAACTCTCTGGGGATGAAGGTGGCATGGGGTTTAAGGTGCTGGACGCCCAGATGACTGGCCATATTGGCATCCCTGACCCAGCAGCTTGAAAATAACACCAGGCACATGAATGTGCATTCCCAAAATTCAGAGAGGAGAATGGAGGAGAAGGGACTGTATTGTGGCCACTCCTCATAAGGGGTTGATTTCTCACTTTCCGTCTCTGTTGTCACTGTTTCTGTCTCTTCCTGGAGAGTGCCCTATGACCAAAAAAAGAGAAAAAAAAAAAGTTACCTCCTCTCATTCACAATGGTTATAAATTTTTAAAAATGCACCCATGCGAAGTCACAACCGGGATGATTATCAAGCAGATCAACTCATGGAAGTGTAAAAAGAAGGGCCAGCAGGTGGCCTGGTGGTTAAGGTGGCTGGACTCCCACATGGCTGACCACAGCTGGAGTCCCAGACCTGGCAGCTTGCTTTCTCACTTTCCTTCTCTCTCTCTCTGATCAACTTAAAGAAAAATAAAAAATAAAATAATGATGATAAAAAAATTAAACAAAAAAATTCTTTTTAAAAAAAATGTAAAAACAAAAGATTTGTTTTTTCAACAGATGATCTCTAGGGGTGAAAAATGCTCTACTAAATTCTTATGCAGGTAAAAAAAAATCTTGATAAAAGTCCACATTTTATTATTAAAATTAATTCAATAAAAAGTATAACATTAGGGTCCAGCATATGGCATGGAGGTTAAGATGCTGGCCCACCCGGTCAACTCTGTCAAGACCCAGAGGCTTGAAATGACCCTGGTATCTGCATTCCTAAAATCCTGAGAGGACAATGAAGGAAAGAGGATTGGGGAATGGCCTACCCCTGGGGGAGTGATGTCTCACTTTCTTTCCCTGTCTTTCTCCGGTAAGCATACCTGCCTTACAGTAAAAACCCTGTAACTTTATCATCTGTACTACTCCTGTAGATCTTTCCGCATAATGTTAAAATTACAATTCCTCTTTCAGATCCCATTTATCTTTTTCATTGTAACATCTTTCTTTCATGGTCCCTCAGAATTCTGAGCATATCCCAGGCTCCAAAAGGTTAGGTAGGAGTCCTGTGTCTTATATTCAGGACAATAGCATTCTTACAGAAGCTCGGTATTTTCAAAGATTAAACGATGAATACTAACTAAACTGTCTTTCCTTCCCCTCAGCCAGCTAAAATAAGTCCGTTAAACATTCATTCACTACTCAAACATCTCAGACGTAAGGAAGAGAGTCAAAAGAAGAAACTGGAAGAAAATTATTGGAAGAAACTGGCAGAAAATTAGATGAGGTGGACAAACTTTGCCCCTTTCTGTTTTCACAGACTGGCTTCTGCTTAAGTGAGAAGACTCTCCCAGGCAAAAGTCAACGGATCAGGTCCTGCTGGTCCTGCTTTATCTATTCAACACTTCTAGCTCACTGTAGGACAGTGAAGGACAGGGTAAATAAAATACGGCAAATTCTAAAATGCCGTATTCTTCACTGCCCGTACAAACGTGGAAAGGCACATCATCCTACCTACAGGTACGAAGTCACCTTTCAGCCCTAATTAACGACGCGTTGGTGGGTGTACACACGCACACCAATCACTCGAACAACGAGGGTTCTTTACACTCCCTGTATTGTGACAGGCTGGGTGTAGAAGGAAAAGACTCTCCGGTTTGGAAAGGGATCATGGCTTTGAATACCGCGCTCCTGTCTCAAGAACGCTCAACTAGACGGAGAGGAAAGCCTGACAAGCCCCCCTCTGATTTACCTCAGCAGAAACGCAACCCTGCAGGGCAGCACGCCGCGCGGCGCGAGGGCCGGGCGAAACGCCTGAGGGGCCGGCGGGAGGAACACCCCCAGGTAGGCAGCTTTCCACCCACCGACGCCCGCTCAGCACCCGTGTGGTAGCGGCGGGAGACGCACCCGACGACCGCGCTCGGAAG